CTATTTTAATACATTTTATTACTTATTATAAATGTTGAAAAGTTGTGCTCTGTAATATTAAACTATGATATATATTACATTTTCTGTCACATTTGAACAAATGAATGCGTCTTGAAATTTTTTGAATGGTAGTGTAGTGAATATAAGCCAATTACCACAAATAAGGTACAAAATAGACCCTCACATTTTTGTTGTTGTTGTTGTTTTTTTTGCAACATATAGTCGGTGAAAGAAGGTACTCAACATTCAGGAAAAGTTGACTGCCAACTTAAGAAGTTTAGAAATTTAGTTTAGTTTTTTTTTTTCCAATGGGGTATTACAATTTTTGCAAGCCTGTTACCAAAATATCTAAATATAGTTTAAAAACATTTGAACATTGTGTGTGATTTTGTGAATTGTATTTAGGACACATTAAATCAACAAAAAAAGGAAGTTATATAGAAATTATATATATATAAGTAAAATAATTACAATAGTTGTACAATACTTCCCTTGAAGAAAGGATCCAATAATCTTATTTTTTTGGGGTGTCACAATTTTAAGTAATGTTATAACACCTTAAATTATTTTAATTGTTAGATATAGACGAAAGGTTCATCTAAGGTGGGATATACAGTATTACTTAATTTATTCTGAATATATAAAAGGTTAAAAAAAGGACACTAAAGTGTATTCATGGAATGTAAAAATCTAAAAACCTCAAAGACTTGCTCAAAAATGATGACATGCTTATCTTCTTTAGGACTCCATGATCTGTTACATGAACTATTAAGGCGCTGCGTCTGGACGTCTAAATCTTCCACTCAGTATATCTGAAGGGGGAGTTAGTCCAAAGTGAGGTCAGTTGGATAACCTGGATTGTCTTTTCCATTCATGCAAGGAACACAATGGCTGCAATGACCACCACTCGATGACCTTTTCAACAGACCTCATGCCCTCGTTTGATTGACATTTCTCTTTGACAGCAGGGGGCGGAGACAGCTTTTGGTGGGCAATGGGGAGGGAAGATTCTCCTGGGTAAATCCTCATCCACATCTTTTCCTTTGGACAACAAAGAGTGTGATGTTTTTGTCTGAAATAAGGAGCCAGATCCCTTGTGTTTTGATGAGTGGGCCACCTGGGACACACATCTCCATCATCGCGCCAAAAGATGAGAGAGAAAATAAGATGGGAAGAGAGGAGATGAGGACGGAGGAGAAAGAAATCCTCCAAAGGAGCACAAACAGAAGCTTGAATGACAAGCTCAATGGAGACTGTTGTTCAGCCAAGTGACCAAACCTCTTGTCTGTGTCATTAGATTGTCTCTTGCAAATGAACCAAAAAGAGCAGCTCAGACACTCCAGTGACGCAAGCAAGTGAAGTTATCTTTCCAACTCCTACTCAGAGTAATCTGCATTGGTTACACAAAACATGGCGGTAGAAGGGTCAGAATGTTCTGTCATCATAACTAGCCCACTTACTTAATCGTTTCTCTTTTTTTTTCTTCCTCAGGTTTAGTCATTTTTAAACTAACTGTAAACAATGACCAGGCATTTCAAGTGTCTGAAATTATTTTTGCCAGTGCCAGCTCAATTATTCAATTATTGACTTTGTGATGAATTAAGATTCAAAGCTGAGAAGTAATTTACTGAATAAGTGTCAATGATGAAGGAAAAACATTTGTGATAAACTCTTTTATATGATTTTGAAAAACTTTTATACCATTTTCGAGAGTTTTAAATTTCGAGAATTTAATCACAAAATGTCATGTGATGTAACCCATCAAGTCAGGTAAGATAACATACTGTAACATATTTCTTTACACCTTGAAATCGTGTACACATCTTAATTTTTATTTTCTAAAATACAAAAAACTACTGTAAAATTATTATTATTATTATGTATACACATCTTAATCTTTGGTTTCTAAAAAATAAATGAATAAAGAAATGAAGGTAAAACTTCAAAGTAAAATTATTATTTTAACAAATATCATGAATTGTTCATTTATTTTGGGGAGTTTTTCATTCCATGTATGAATTGCATTTGAATGTATTTTTTTTATTAGTTAAATAGCACAAAAGCTTCACCCTTAGTGGTCCACAAATAAATAAAAAGTCATATGGGATTAGAACAAACTGGAGGATGCGCAAGTGACATGATTTACATTTTAGTGTGAACTAATCCTTTAATATTTGGCTCTTATCTGGGTTTCCCACTGCAGCTGATATCACTGATAGCTCACACATGTTGTTTGCTTTAGTGAGAAGATGTGTGGTGCCATGCTGAGAACCCTGACATGCATAGGAAAACACCTTTAAATTAACCCTGGCCGTATGTCAATTTCCTTCTCTCTTCAAAACACAAACACGGGAACACAAACAAGATCTCGCTAGCTGGCTTTTGTTCCGAGTCCTGTTGTCAAGACCGACTCAGGGTGCGAGAGACTACTGTGTTTATTTTTAATCCTGGGGCTTTGAGTAAAGTCACCGGTGGCACTGTATCCCGGACGGTCATGCATAAGACATGGGAGATCAGCCCCCTGACTGGGGACAAGCTGTAACTGTTAAAAAAGAAAAACCCTTCACAGTGTGGCACGGCACTGGATCACGAGGACCAGATGGATGTCAAGGGAACATCTGTTGCATTTCCACAGGGGCAAGCCCCTTCAACAGGTTGTGAAAGCTTGAGATTACTCGGCTGTTTAGACTGAGGGAGAGCAAAACATTCGCCGTTTGAGAAAACACCAACGAACAAGCTTTGTTTTCCTTGTAAACAAAAAGGTTCCTCGACGAGTCACGCATTACCATTTCTGACTGAGAGGACTTAAATGATGAGGCGAGCAAACAGAACTGGGAAAAGACTTTTCAGAGGAGAGCAAGCAAAAGCATTTCCCCTCCTTCTCAAAAGTCATCCTAACAAAGATCACCACGCTCTGTTCCAAGTCTTTGTCAGTTGCTGGTGAATTCCTGCTAAGGAACTAAAAATAATCTCTGTCTAGACACAGCAAGTGTGAAACTGAGCCAAGCGAGAAAAATGATATGCAAATAGAGTTAAGACTGGCATTATAAAAACATCCCATGTGGGAGGGTTTTAAGACAGATCCCGCTCGGTGGGATAAAAAGCAAGACTGAAGCCAAAAACAAAACAAAAACAAAAAAGCTGGGATGTGTTTGTCTCAGTACCTACAAGGTGTCACGGTGTGTATCTAATTACATTATTGACATTCAGATAGTGTCGCACGAAGCATAGGAATGGGGCATTTAATAAGTTCCTGGCCCTAGGGCCTGTGCAATCTGTCTGTGGGCCTCTTATTCGGAGAGACAAGCCAATTCTAACAGGCCAAACTGGTTTTCTGCAGCGTTTCTGCTTTGAGGGTGGGCTCCATTAGCGTGACCAAAGGGAAGCAGAGCGCCCAGAGAAAGAAGGGGCAAAGGGCTTTCTCTGAGAGCGGATAGACAAGAGCAGCAGACTAGAGAAGAGCGTCAGACGCAGACAGAGGAAGAGCAGATCAAAGAATCGCAGGGGCAACCTGCGTGACAGACATTGTATCAAAGCAACGTGTATAGTTTGAAAAGAGAGGGAGAAAAAAAATGAACCTGGCTGGATCAGGAACCCTGTCTGAGAAACATTAACTTCCCTTTTTTTATCTACATCAGACCACGAGCGCATGGAATTTGTGTTCGAGACAGAGATTAGATGGGGAAGCAATGATACGATGGACAGTTTGATTATTTTACTGGCTTGCTTTGATTTTGCCATTGAGAAGCCAATGGCTTAAAAATAACCAGCAGCATATCAGATGTATTTTACACTGAAATGCCCTTGTCAGCAATAATCAACAATTCCACATAATAAATAATTCCAAATAATTTGTATTTATAGTAATGAAGACAACACGCAGATTCAAATGTGAGACGGTGATCATTTAAAATAAGGTTAACATGAATGTCATAGCTAAAATAAACTAACATCAAACTATTTTTTACAAGTTTACAGCATTTAATAAATATAAATTGTTTCTAATAATTTGATATTTAATAAAAATCTTAATTTCAACAATACATTTTTAACATATATTATTAACAAACATAAAATTAACAATAGTATCTATTTAACCAAACATTAACCTAGATTAATAAATGCTCTAAAAACGGTGAATGTGCAGTTCATACCTTATAGATTAACTAATGTTAATATATTTAACCTTAAAGTCGTGAGGATTGTAGGTTGAGGGTATACTAAGGATCACGTGATATATCTAACTGGTACATGTGCTCAAATCGATTTAAAAGCAGTACAAATGGTTTACCCCCAAAATAAGACATCAAGTGGCAATTGGCGGGCAAAACATACACAGGTTAACACCATAAATATACAGAATATACAGAGTCCTAAACTACTCTGGAACAAGTCTGGTGACAAAATGCACATCAGAGAGGTGCACAGTCAGGAATCTAAATTTGTGGAGAGGAATTTGGATAATACCAGCAGGAAGCAGAGGGGGTGAGGCCGCCGAGCGCGGTTGGGCAAAGAGTGAGGTGGCAGACGGGGAGGAGTCTCCACAGATAGTTGGAGGGCTTAAGCCTGGCGGACAGGGACTTGTCAAATGCAGCTGTTGCGGACACTGATTGATAGAGTTTGTATTCCAGCTCAAACCAGTGCCAAGTAAATGGGTGTGTCGTATTTTCGAACAACAAAAAAGAACGTAGAACTCATTTTGTCTAGGAAGTCATTCTAACATTCTCTAAAAAGAAGAAAGAATAATGAGTTCAAGGGACACTAGATTTGCTATAATAATAATAATAAACAATACAATAATATAATATATAATATAATAAAAGTATTTTCCATAAAGGTGCTGAATGAATGCTCGGATTTTAAGCCATTATAAGAAATATGGATTGGTTATTATTAACATAAATTCCACACACACACACACACCACATGACAACCAACTAATAAACAACATATAGCTTATCATCAGCTTATTAGTTTTACTAATAATGGTGAAAATTTCTGAAGGACTTTGGTTCACCTGCTACTAAATCAGCATATGTGTGGCCCTTGACCTAAGGGTGACAAATATGTCAGTCAGCTCATCAAAACATGTGGCTTTTTGCATCTATGTCTCCAGTGGGTTATAAAACAACGACGAATGAGAGGTCCAAAAAATTCCTTCTAGCAAGCAACACTTCAAACCCACTTTCCACTTTGAAGTTTGATTGAATCATATCCTGCTAGGTAGCACCTCCTTTTCTTCCAAAAGGCTGATGAGTTGACTGAAACTCTCTCTCACAGCCTCCATGTTGTTCGTTGTGGTGCCTGCAAGAATCCACCGCTTCCCTCGGTTCAGCGGCTGCAATTCAAAGTACTTCTGTATCTGAAAAATAAATAAATATTTAATTATGACCACTCTCTAAAAAAAGCACCAAAAGAATTTTGGCTTGTCTTCCATAAAATACCTAAAATGATTGTGCAGATTTGGTGAGAATCCAGCAGGCAATTACTCAAATTCAAACTGAAATGCTGTTTAAAAAATAACTGAAAATTGAAAGGAGATATATTTGACTGTTTTTATGTTTGGGATACAAATTAATCTTTCATTTTGCCTTCAAATTCTTCATGTTCCTCTAACCTAATTAGAACCCAGGAAGCAGATACCATTAAGCCTATACTATTATTACACAGTATCTCTGTTGTATCTTAAAGTATGCATGCACTTGTCCTTTTTTTTACCTTTATTTTACCAGGAAGTCTCATTGAGATCAAACATCTCTTTTACAAGAGAGACCTGGCCAAGGTAGCAGCCATACATAAACACAACATATTAAAATGCTACATACAAGGTAGTAGCCAGCCATACATAAACACAACATAGTAAAAAATGCTATATACACATACATACAATCATACAAAGATCATTTAAACACAATGGCCTCTCAAGAAAAACAACCACATGTCTTGCAGGTGATCAGTATCCATTTGATGTTATTTCTGTTTGGGGTTAATTTGACCCCAGCAAAAAAACACTTTATAGAATAATTATAATGTGAAAATGCATTGCATTTAATCATGTTTTACATTAGAAGTCACAAGACCCCAAACATACAGTATGTTGTCAAATCCTTTTTAGAGGATCTTTGAAGTGTGTTGTCATGTCGAGATATTCAAGCTATTAAAATGGCCTTGTTTCTGAGACCCTAAAACATAATATATGGGATATTTTACTATAACAATAAGACTTTCTTTCGAAACAAACCCTCTAATAATCTCTAAATAGTTCAAGGTAAAAAGGTAAAAAGCTTGGTATCTACTTATTAGTTCAAAACATTCCTCACAGAACAGCAGAAATGTGTTTGTGTCCAGGCGGTGTAATGTGAGGCAGGGAAACTATGCAGATTTGGTTAATATGTAGGCTACTTGGTATATACAAAACTGATAGTAACAGCTGATTAAAATGACCATATGTCAAAGCTTTGTGCTCTGTCAAAGCTTTCTTGATTATACTTTTATGTCAGCACTTCATTATAGCACTAGCAGATCAGAACCATCTGTTAAATTTGATCAAGTCAAGGAATATCATACAGCTTCTGCTCAAAAGTCACAAGACTAACTCTGTAAGTCATAGCAAGGACATTTTCAGTTTTGCAGGAGTCATTTGTGTTAAAAAAAAATACATTTAATGTAGAAACAAATTTGATGTCCTTTTTACTTAACCGATCTTGCTTCACAAAATCTATCAGGCTATTTAAGGTCACAAAAAGTCTGGACTATTGATATCAAAGTCCACCAAAGGGTGTACAGCTTTTTTTGCATTTGCCTCCAAAACTCTGGAACAGCCTTTCTGATAATGCTCAGGGCTCAGACACCCTCAGGTTTAATCTAGATTAAAAACCTCTCTTTAGCTGAACTTTCACAAAATGCATCTCATAACCTACAATTTCAGTCATGTCTGATGAAATGTTAAATGCAAATTATCATCTTTCTGAAATTTGAACAGCAGCTTTTTACCACAGGATGCCCATAACTAAAGACATTACCAGCTCGAGTTTGGACCCAGCCTCACTTGACAGCAGATAATATCAACAACGGATGGACTTACATGGTCCTTATTGCAATGGTTACGATCACAACCTGTATTTACTGCCTTAGCGTTGCCAGTACCACAATAGTGTTACGCTTTTACATGCTTCACATTACACACGTACATCATTCATCATTACTCACCACCGTATCATCAAGCTATATGCAAGATCTATATCAACATCAATCATAATGCAAATTGAAAGGCGTCACTAGCTTTTTGCTCAGTTTAGAGTGACAAATCGTGGAGGTAAAAAAGGCAACCTACTACGCAAAATGCATAAAGATTTGCAGGCCTGTATATTGTCTTGTTATATGACATTATTTTGTTGCTACAGATAATAGAAACTACTGGGATTATTTTTTTTTTTTTTTTTACATTCCACTGTGGCTGGCTGCTCACTAGGGCATTGATTTAATCCTAAATTCCCTGTTAATTAGAATTCAGTGACATCATTGTATCATTGAAACATGTGTTTTCTGTAAAGCTGCTTTGAAACAATGTGTATTGTAAGAACCACTATACATATAAAAATTAACCAAATTGCATATGAGCTAAATGACAATTACACCTTATTGTACTATCAATCTTTTATCCACAGAAAATTCACTAACACACAGCAGTGCAAAAAAACAAACAAAAAAACTACCGTTCAAAGTTTGTGGTCTTTTAAAAAAATATTCAGCATAGAAGTATTAAATAGATCGTCTCGGTTACATATGGTAACCCTCGTTCCCTGAGGGAGGGAACGGAGACGTAGGTCAGACTGACCAATAGGAATCTCGCTAGAGAGGCCAATCTACTTCGAGTGAAACTAAAACAAGCCAATGCACATTGGCATGCAATCATTTGCATCAGCTGCGCGTCCTCGTCAGCGCGGGTATTTAACAGCAGCTGTTATGATTGCACACTAGTTTTTTGCTGAGGAGCCAAACCTGAAAAAGCTGGCCGCCCCAGCGGGCGGCAGCAGATGTGGCGACGGGACCTACGTCTCCGTTCCCTCCCTCAGGGAACGAGGGTTACCATATGTAACCGAGACGTTCCCTATCGGTCAGTCACTACAACGTAGGTCAGACTGACCAATAGGAATCCCTACCAAAGCACCACAGCTGCTGCACCCCATCCAGCGCCCCATGCAAGCCTCTACACCTTCTTGCCTAGAAGGACGATAGGAGGAGGCTACACACAGAGTGTATCTGTCAGTGTTGTTCCGTAATAACCCATACAGTGAGATTATTGGATAACACTGGGAAAGCGTGCCCTTCAGTTAGGAAGGAGGACGCTGCGGAATCCACTTACTTCAAGGAGTTATGTGGGGAATACATATGGACTAGCCCGAAGGCTGTACTACATATGAGATAGTGGGTGACTTAGCCCAAGGGAAAGACACGGGCTTCCGTTAGGAGCAGCCGTGGAAAATATACACATATGGGATCCCCGTAGGGTCACACATATGGAACCCAGCCCAGATCCGGTTCTCAAGGATTCAGCGGATAAAGGCCTGGCACCGGACGCTCCGCCATGTCCGGGCCGAGGGGTTTTTGGAGGACTCGACAGGTTTTTCACTCTGGAGCAATAAGGGTGCACAGTAGGGTGCAGCAAGCCGACAGAGCCGGGCCTCTCGGTGCTTCTACCCGTTTAGGGTGAGAACACGGGAGGAGACCGGCTCTACACGTAGGCTATAATATCTAGCGAACGTGTTAGGTGTCGCCCAGCCCGCAGCTCTACAGATATCTGTTAGCGAGGAGCCACGTGCCAGCGCCCAGGAGGATGCAACGCCTCTCGTGGAGTGTGCATGCAACCTGAGCGGGCAGGGCACGCCTTGAGCTTGGTAAGCCAAGGCGATGGCATCCACTATCCAGTGGGCCATCCTCTGCTTGGAGACAGCCTTTCCCCTCTGCTGGCCTCCATAACAGACAAAGAGCTGGTCTGAGGTCCTGATGCTTTGAGTTCTGTCCACGTACATACGCAGAGCGCGAACGGGACAGAGCAAAGACAGGGCTGGGTCTGCCTCCTCCAAAGGCAGCGCTTGCAGGTTCACTACCTGGTTTTTGAAGGGAGTGGTAGGAACCTTGGGCACATAGCCTGGCCGGGGTCTTAATTCCACATGGTTGTCACCCGGCCCGAACTCTAGGCACGATTCGTCGACCGAAAATGCGTGCAGGTCTCCTACCCTCTTGACAGAGGCCAGTGCAACCAGTAGCAAAGTCTTCATGGAAAGAAGCTTTAAGTCTACTGACTGCAGAGGCTCAAGGGGAACATCCTGAAGTGCTCGAAGCACCAGGGGAAGATCCCAAGAGGGTATGGAGGGGGGTCGAGGAGGATTTAATAGTCTCGCCCCCCTAAGAAACCTGACGACCAGGTCGTGCTTCCCCACTGTTTTGCCATCTACGTGGTCGTGATAAGCTGAAATAGCTGCAGCATGTACTTTGAGGGTGGAGGGAGACAGGCTTCGCTCCAACCCTTGCTGCAAGAAGGAAAGCACAGACCCTATCGAACATCTTCGGGGGTCTTCTCGGCAAGAAGAACACCACTCGACGAACAGGTTCCACTTCAGGGCGTAAACACGTCTCGTGGACGGCGCCCGTGCTGAAGTGATGGTGTTAAGTACCTCAGGGGGTAAGTCACCTAGAACCTCCGCGTCCCATCCAGGGACCAGACATGGAGTTTCCAGAGGTCTGGACGCGGGTGCCATAGGGTGCCCCGTCTCTGAGTCAGAAGATCCTTCCTCAGAGGAATGGGCCAGGGAGGGACTGTCCCAAGGAGCATGAGTTCTGGGAACCAAGTCCGGGTGGGCCAATAGGGAGCCACCAGAAGGACCTGCTCCTCGTCCTCCCTGACTTTGCACAGTGTCTGTGCAAGTAGGCTCACTGGGGGAAACGCATATTTGCGGAGGCCCCGGGGCCAGCTGTGTGCCAGTGCGTCCGTGCCGAGTGTTCCCTCGGTCAGGGAGTAAAACAGCTGGCAGTGGGAGGTCTCTGAAGAGGCAAACAGGTCTACCTGAGCCTCTCCGAACTCTCTCCAGATCAGCTGAACCACCTGGGGGTGGAGTCACCATTCTCCCGGAAGCACAGCTCGTGATAGCTCGTCGGCCACACGGTTGAGCACGCCAGGGACATACATGGCTCGAAGCGACCTCAGACGCTTCTGACTCCAGAGGAGGAGATGGCGGGCGAGTTGCGACATGCGACGGGAGCGTAGACCACCTTGTCGGTTGATGTACGCCACGGTCGCAGTGTTGTCCGTACGGACCAGCACGTCCCTGCCCCGTAGCGGCCTTTTCAGGCGGCTCAGAG